TTTTTTTTGCCCTTTACCCATCTCTACCTGCTCCAAAAGAAAAAGACGTGTACCCATACCTGTCCTACCTGAAGCTCTTCAAACTGTTACTGCTCATGCCTGCCCATGGACTTCTTTTTTTTTTTCAAAGCCACCCATGGCCACCTGAGCCCAAACTGTTTGTTAACCACCCGTACCCTATGCAGCCCAGGTTTCCTTTACCCATACCCACCCACACTTGTATGCACCAGCCGTGCCCATCTCCTGAGTCCTGAGGCCTTCTTCGGGGCAAACCCGTGCAGGCAAAAATCAGCCCTTTTTACTTTTTTATTTTTATTTTTGGGGTGGATTTTCTGAGCATGGCAAGAGGAGGTGAGGTGAGATTTCACACATGCAATCAAAGATCGACGCAGACGGCCATAGTCGACACGGACGACCCGAGATTAAAGTCCTGAGAAAACGACATAACCTTATGGAAAAGTAGTACAGACCCCGGAGACCCAGTGGTCGGGCTCAAGAATTCAGACCTGGCTTCGGCTGAGAATCAATCTGAGAACTATTGAGAACTATTGAAGAAATTCAAGAGAATTAAAAAGAGGTTAAAAAACTATGAATGACTACTGGCCTCTTTTCGAATGCTCAGAACCCCTAGACTCCCAAACAAAACTCTCTAAAACTATCCAACACTGTCTTACTCCCTGTCGAGCTCTCCCAGGCCTCACACTCACCCGTTCATTGATTGTTTAGCAGTTTCTTGGGTGGAATTCTGTTGGTCTTTTTGAGTGGTTGGGTGTAGATTTCCTGTTGCGTTTTCCTTTTGATGATTTGAGTTGGTTTGTGCTTTAGTGTTAGGGTTGATGATGTTAATTAGTGTTAAGATGTTAATTAGGGTGTGATGTTGATTAGAGTTAATTAGGGTGTGACGTTGCAGGCTGACGGGTGCTCAGCCGCGGTGGGGTTAATCCAGGCCGGAGACCCTGGCTCATCCCTGCTGGCCGTGGTTATTGATGTGAGGGACGCTGGGCCCGTTTCCCAGCCTGTGATGATATGATATACTCCTTTTTTTTGTAAAAAAGGAAATAAATAAATAAATAAAAAATTGAAAAAAGGAAATAGCAAAAAAAAAGAAAAACGTTTTTTTTTTTTTTTTTTTTTTTTTTTTTTTTTTTTTTTTTTTACAAAGCCCACTTTGTTGTAGGGGTTGTGTTCCAGACCCATGGACAGCTGATGAAAAACGAAAAGACCCTATGATGATGATGCATCAGGAGATGTTTTTTTTTTAATAAATTATAAATAGGCCCAGTACCCAAGGCAAAAATGTAATGGAAACAAGTTTAAACCCTGGACCCCGTTTTCAGCTAGCATGGACTCAACAAGGTTTAGGGGGCGGGAAGTACTAGCATGTAGTGATGTATCTGACGCTGGTTTCAGGGTGAAGAGGTTCCCCCTTCCCCCCGGGTATACTGCTCAGTCAATCCCCTGGATCTCAGGGTAATCAATGCTGGCAGGAACATTCCACATCTGCTTCTCGATGTACTCTGACGTACTGTGATTTCAATCTGTATAAGGGACGCTGGACCCGCTTTCCAGCAGGTGATGCTCCACACCAATAGATGGAGCCTCCCCCCAGGTGCTAGTGGTGTCTGCTCGTATCAGCACCACTAACACTGATGGGGGACTGTTTGAAATAAATAAATAAATAATAATAATAATAATAATAATAATAATTAAAAAAAAAATCAGGAGCCGCTTGGTCTCCAACTGCACCCAGCAAGAGGAGCCAGTCCCCTGTGAACAAAAAAGATACCAAATTGTTACCGGAGCAATTTTTTTTTATTTTTTTTTTTTTTTTTTTTTGCAAAAAGGCTAATTCTTTTAAGCCCAACCAATTCAATTACCTGTCGAATCTGGACAATTCTACAAATGTATTCTAAGAAATGTCAAAACCCCAAAACGGAATGCATTCAAATAGACTGCAAAAAAGAGCCAAAACGAAAATCTCCAGTACAGGCATCTACTGTAGCCAAAGTTGAGCAAGAGGCCCAATGTTTTCTGATTTTCTGAACCACTGAACACCAGCCCGCATGTGTTTTTTTTTTTTTTTTTTTTTTTTTCCTCCTGTTTTACCAATATTTTTCCTCCAATCCAAATAAATGATGTGACGCAGGTCGCTTTTCACACGATACAACACCTGTTGTGTTGAGGGGGAGTCATTTGATCTCCCAACATCATTTCTCTGATGCCATAAATGCGAACACTGTGCCCAGCAGAATTGACTCTTGTGACCAAATATCACCCCAATGAGCAGGAATAGGAGAATATCATCCACACAGCACGGCTGTTGGGACAAGTCACCCATAAATGGTGTTGATCTTCCACAAGGTGAAGAGCTGCGCATGCAATACAGAAAGGTGACCCTTTCTTCCGACGTCGATACAGGAAAGCTGCTGTAGGAACTGCATTATGAAGATGTTTCATACCAAGGTAGATAAATATATATATATATATAAGCAGGGTTGCCGGCGTTCGGGACGGGCCGAACACCCGAACCCAAACGCCCGAACGTTTGGGACCCCCTCTCGACGCGTTCGGACGTTCAGCCGAACAAAAAAAAAAATGTTTCCAAAAATTCTGAAAAAAAAACTATGTCATGCAGAAGAATAAACTAAACAACATTTGCCTCAACATTACATCCAAATTTCTTACCAAATTTGAAATAAAAATCAAATACGAAAAATAAATAATATTAATGAAAATAAGAAAAAATAAAACGAGAATGAAATTATTGCGTGGGCGAGCAAGTTTT